CTAGCCAGAGCAATCAGGCAAGAAGATGAAATAAAGGGCATCCAAATTGGAAAAGATGAAGAAAAACTGTCCCTGTTTGCACATGACATGATCTTTTATATAGAAAACCATACAAATGCCACCAAAAAGTGGTTAGAACAAATAAACAAATTCAGTAAAGTTACAAAACACAAATTCAACATTCAAAAATCAATAGTGTTTATATATACAGCTAATTATCTGAAAAAGAAATCAATCCCATTTACAATAGCTACAAAAATTAAATACAACTAAGGAGGCAAATGATCTCTATAATAAAAACCAAAATTGAAGAGGACACAAATAAAGGGATGGATATCCTGTGTTCACAGATTGGAAGTATTACTATTGTTTAAATGACCATACTACCCAAAGTAATCTACATATTTAGTGCAATTTCTATCAAAATACCAATGATATTTTTCACGGAAATATTTTTTAAAATCCTAAAATTAGTATAGAACCATAGAAAAAATAGTCAAGCAAGCAATCTTGAGCAAAAAGAACAACGCTAGGTGTATCACATTAAATGACTTTAAAATAAATATACTACAGCTTTTTCTCCAAAAAGACACCAAATGGTGCAACAGGAGGGCCCAGAGGCCCCAGGGTACCCTGGAATGGAAAGCCGTGGTGGCTTTCGCAGAGGTTTCAGCAGCAGCCTCCGGGGCCAAGGTCACAGCCATGGTCAGGGTCAGGGGCAAGACCGTAGAGCTTGTGGAGACAAGACCAAAGACAAGGAGTAGATGCCAGTCCCAAGCACATGAAGATTAAGTCACTGGAGGAGATCTATCTCTTCTCCCTGCCCATCAAGGAGTCTGAAATCATAGACTTCTTCCTTGGCATGTCTCTGAAGGATGAGATTTTGAAGACCATGACTGTGCAAAAGCAGACCTGAGCTGGCCAGCGAACCAGGTTCAAGGCATTTGTTGCCATCGGAGACGACAGTGGCCACATCGGTCTGAGTGTTAAGTGCTCCAAGGAAGTAGTCACTGCCATCCATGGGACTATCATCTTGGCTAAGCTGTCTGTCCGTTGTCCCTGTGCAGAGAGGCTACTGGGGGAATAAGACTGGCAAACCCCACACTGACCCATGCAAGACGACCGGCTGCTGTGGCTCTGTGCTGCTGTCCTTATCCCTGCCCCCAGGGGCACTGGCATCGTCTCGCTCCATGCCCAAGATACTGCTGATGATGGCTGGCATCAATGACTACTACACCCTGGCCAGGGGCTGCACTGCCACCCTGGGCAACTTCGCCAAGGCCACTTTTGATGCCATCTCTAAAGACGTATAGTTACTTGACCCCTGACCTCTGGAAAGAAATGGTATTCACACCAAGTCTTCCTATCAGGAATTCACCAACCATCTCCTCAAGACCCACACCAGAGACTCCATGCTGAGGACCCAGGCTCCAGCGGTGGCAACAACATAGGGTTTTCATACCAAAAAATAAAGTGAACCAAGCCAAAAAAAAAAAAAAAAAAAAAAACCACTACAAAGCAACGGTAACCAAAACAGCAATGGTACTGGCATAAAACAGATACAACCCATGTTTTTGCAGCCAAATAATTTTTGACAAAGATGCCAAGAACACACAGTTGGGAAAGGAGCATCTCTTTAATAAATGGTTCTGGGAAAACTGGATATTCGCATGTAGAAAAAATGAAACTGTATGCAAAAATCAACTCAAAATGGATGAAAGACTTGAATGCAAGACACAAAACTATGAAGCTGCTAAAAAAACATAGAGGAAATTCTTCATGACATTGGTCTGGGCAAGGATGTTTTTAAATAAGACCTCAAAGCACAGGTAATAGAAACAAAAATAGACAGATGGAATTATAGCAAGCTAAAAACCTTCCTCTCAGCAAAGGAAACAATCAATACAATGCAGATACAACTTACAGAATAGGAAAATATATTCACAAACTATGTATCTGACAATGGGTTAATATCTAGAATACATAGGAACTCAACTCAATAGCCAAAAAAAAAAAGCCAAATAAAAAATGGACAAAAGATCTTAACAGACATTTTTCAAAAGAAGATACACAAACGGGCAGGAGGTATATGAGAAAATGCTCAGCATCACTAATCATCAGAAGAACGCAAATCAAAACCACAATGAGGTATCAACTCATCCCACTTAGAATGACTATTACCCAAACGCCAAAAAATAACAAATGCCAGCAAGGAAATGGAGAAAGGAGAACTCATATACACAATGTTGGCAGGAATATAAATTAGTACCACCATTAGGGACAACAGCATGTGGTTTCTCAAAAAATTAAAAATAGATCTAACATACGACCCAACAATCCCACTGTTGGGTACATAACCAAAGAAAATGCAATTTGAATGTCAGAGAGAGATCTGCACTCCCATGTTTATGGCAGCACTATTCACAATAACCAAGATACGGAATCCACCTAAGTGTACGTCAATGGATGAATGAATAAAGAAAATGTGGTATATATACACAATGGAATACTATTCAGCCATAAAAAGAGATAAAACCCTGTCATTTGTGACACCACGGATGAAATCTAGAGGACAATATGTTAAGTGAAAAAGCCAAGCATGGAAAGGCAAATACTACGTGGTCAATCATACATGGAATCTAAAATAAGCAGAGAGAAGAATAGTGGTTGCCAGAGAATTGGGGAGAGTAGGGAGGAGGGAGGGCTGAGGAGAGGTTGGTTAATGAGTACAAAGTTACAGTTAGAGAGGAAAAAATAAGTTTTAGTGTTCTCCCGCACAGTGGAGTGACTACAGTCAACAATGGCACATTGCATACTTCAAAACCACCAGAAAAGAGGATTTTGAATGTTTCCACCATAAAAAAATAACAAGTGCTTGAGGTGACAGATATGCTACTCACTTGATTTGATCACTGTACAACATATATATGTCTCAAAGCATCACATTATATTCCATAAATATGTACAAGTATTGTGTGTCAAAAACAAAATAAAAGTTGTAGAAAACAACAACGACAATAAAGGGTCTGGGTAAACTACTGATATTTCCTGTAATGTAAATTAACTCATGACTTTTCATACTTTTTATGGTAGCAAGCTTCTATGAGTTAAATGTGACATACTCGTAGATGTCAGATATACATATATACATGTATATATTAACATTCATGATTTTCAGAGCTTTTTGGAGAAAATATCCTAAAATGTTTGACTGTCCTAGGAAGCAGATACTATATACACATGAGGTTATATGATACATTTTCATACTAGCTTCCAAATTAGGTTCTTTTGGGGGGAAGTCCTTGGAAGTCAAGCAAAACTCCAAAGATGCTGAAGGAGCTAGTCTCTCTTTTCATGGGCTGGCTATGAGTTGATCTCTGCCGTATAAAGGCCCAGCCCTAAACCCACCCAGTCTGACTCATAAGAAACACTTTATGCGGTGTCCTAAATTGGAAAAAATGAGCTAAAGGAGCACAGCGGAAAACAAGAATTGCCCTTTTCCAAAGGCCACCTTCACTACTGTCAATCAAGTGCACCATGCTCTAAAACTGCTATGGGAAAGGGACATCTTGCAAGTTACTTTAACATGCTACCCTTAGAAGAGACGGGGAACAAGAGTGAGCTGCACACACAGCCCAAGAGGCTCTGTACACAATGTGCACACAGACAAGCCTCAGCTTTGGAGAGGGCTGTGTGCAGGAAGTCACACACCTTTGTCACCTGTTCACAGAACTAAGGAGACATCCATTTCCTGACTACATTTCTTGTTTTGTTGAAATATATCATTCCCCAAACTATCACTTGTAGAACATGGTCATTTAGTGTTGGTCCCACATCCCAAAATGGAATCTTTCAGTGGAGAAGTAGAGTAATTATAGTAAAGAAAAAGATCCACCTTTGTGTTTCCTCTGAGCTCATCATCTCTGTTTAAAAAAAAAAAAAAGCCCTTGAAGATAACTGTTGACTCCAAACAGAAGATGAGTTTTGTTTTTCATTTCTCTATTTCTCTCTCTCTCTCTCTCTCTCTCTCTCTCTCTCTATATATATATATATATATATATATATATATATATATGTATGTATTTTTTTTTTCTAAGAGATGAGGTCTTGCTTTGTTGCCCAGGCTGGTCTCAAACTCCTGGACTCAAGCAATCTTCCCACCTCAGCCTCCCAAAGTGCTGGGATTACAGGCGTGAACTACCGTGCCTAGCCTCCGTATTCTTAACAAAAACATGTTTTCGGTTTTTGTTTTAGAAATCAAGGCTTTAGACAGTTCTGTTTCTTTCTATCAATATTGGAAGTACTTTTATTAGAATGTTAAAAATAAGATATCAATAATCAAAAATGTATAATCAGTAAACATAAGGAAATTTTTTCTTCAGGGATTTTTCCAAGACAAATTGTTTTTCCTAGTTTCCTCACAACCAAGAAGGCAAAGGAACCATCGCCACCAAATACAGAGTTCAGTCAAAAGAAAACCACTGCCACTTCTCAAAAAATGAACTTGGCTCTGTATCCAGAATGAGAATCACTAAGAAACCTTTAACCCTCCCTAGTAAAAACCTAGTTCTACTGATGACATGAAAGTCAGCAAGCCTTAGGCTCCTACTTTGATATTCTTTGGTGACTAAGAATGATCTTGGGCATCAGTGAAACCCCAGGTGTTTGCTCTTCTCTCCTCACTGACTCACCTGCTGCCACTGGGTGGGGGAGGGAGAAGCAGGGAGGGACAAAGGAAGTTACCTAGCTCCATGCACATCTTCACCATGTTGTTGGGTACACTCATTATAACAAGCGTGGACAGTTTACAGCTGAGAAGGGAGTAATACCCAATCAGGTACCCAGGAGGAAGGGTCAGAAGTGAGATGAAGTTACACAGACTGCCAGCTGGTTCTCCACACCGCCCACCCCCCTCTGCCATCCCACCACAGTTCACACAATTTGTTTTTAATCCACACATTTCAATGCATATGCCTATAGCCACCTGTGTGGTTTCTTACCTGAGAGGTTTTTGAGGGTATCCTGCTGGGTTTAGGAACTGAGGCTTGGGTGGAAGGGGAGGTCTTTTTGGCTTCTGTGGAACACTTGGAGGGCTCTGCGGTCCCTCACTGCCTCTGCCTCTCTGGGCCGCGAGGGATAACCTCTTGTAGTCTTCCCGTGCTTGTTTGGCCAAGGAGCGTCTCTTCTCATCAGCTGCTTTGGATTTTCGCACTGGAAAAACAATAGGTTTGAGAATGGCCCTCGTCGGCGGAGATGTTAAGAAGGGACAGCACTGAACAGCGGAGAGCAGAGCAAGTTCTCAGCAGTGTGCTTATAATCATAAACAATCGCTAAACGCCTATTATCCAGATCAGTGGTGCTTTGCCCAGTGCTCACTGCAGAATTCCTCTTTCCATGTAGGAATTTGGGGGTTTTCTGAGAGGGAAAGAAGAGGAAAAGGAAGAGGAAGGGGTGAGATACAGGAGGAGGCTGTGTGCAAGAACTTCCTGCAGTTGGCAAGACTAAGTGGTGAGTCCCAGCCTGAGTGAGGGTGCAAACGCTGTAATAACAGGCAATGGTCATATGCCTCATGTTCCTTCACACACTCGTGTTCAGGATGCAGTGTGCTCACGTCACTAGCAGAGATCAGGTAGTCAGGACACAGGGTGAAGAGCAGGGAGCTGGACCAGACGTGAATCAGCCCAACAAACAGAAAAATAAAATGATGCTTAACCGCTGTAGAGCATGTTGGTACACCTAAAAGTCACCCAAGGCTGCCTTTTAATATGACAGTCATGCAGCACTTAACGGTAGGGATACATTCCGAGAAATGCATTACTGGGCAACTATAAGACGATGGTAAGTATTTGTGTATTTAAATATATCTTAGGGGAGGGAAGGGCACACCTCATCAACAAGGGGACCTGCATAATCAACGTTTGTATACCTAATCCTGAATTGTACCCCCATATCTTTATAATAATAATAATAATAATAAAAGAAAAAAATAAACAAATCTAAGCATACAAAAATGTCTGGTAAAAATATGGCATAAAAGATAAAAAATGGGACACCTGCGTAGGGTACTTACCGTGAATGGAGCTTGCAGAACTGGAAGTTGCTCTGGGTGAGTGGTGAGTGACTGGTAAGGACGAGGACGTTACTGTGCACTACTGTAGACTTTAGAAACAACGTGCACTTGGACTACACTAAGTTTATAACATTTATTAAAATGTGTTACATTTATTTATGAATACATGTGGGCTGTCATTAACAAAAACATCGATATGCAGTGCATGACTACTTTATAAAATAGAGGGTTTTATGTCTTAGCAACAGAGTGTTAAAGACTCTAATACAGGCTGTAAGAATAATTTTGACTGCGTATGTTTACACTTCAGGCATTATTGGTCAAATCCTGCTATGTTTGACTTCTAAGAGAGAGCAAAAATATCCCATTCTACCAGGATTTCACTGCAGAGCACAAGGAGGCCATCGGATCTTGCAGATATTTTCATTTACACAAAAGCTGGCTATTTTAATGACCCTTGTAATGGGACCTGCAGACCAATTTAGGATTCTCAACATCCTGCAATTACTGCCACTTCTGCTCTCTTCCCCAAGCTGCCTCAGGAAAGACCTGGCAGTTCGGTCTTCTTTGTCTGAGTCAGATGGAACCCTAATCCTTTCTCAAATCTAATTCTTCTAGAGTCCTTGAGCACCCTCTGCTCTCCCTTCATTTGCATTGGCTTATTCTTTGTCTTTGAAGTTTCTCTCTGGCAATACTAACTCAACAGGGAGTCAGGGTCAGGTCGCAGGCACTGGAGGAATGCTCATATATCCAGCCTGCTATTCCTGTGTTCTGATTACAAAGTTAAAATGTGTACACTGTTGAAAATTTAGGGAGGGAACCCAAAACAGAGTATCAAGAATAAAAATTCAAATAGATCATCTTGAATCCCACCTCTCCAAGAAAACTAATGTTTACATGTTAACATTAGTTTTTTTCTTCATATACTTATATATTTTTAAATAGCAATATTGTTCTACAATTTTATGTTTCTTCTTCTCCAAGCTAATGAGATATTAACATATTCCAAGTTTATTAAACACTATTCCAAAACCTGTTTTTCATAGCTATTCATCATTCTAAAATATATCATAATTTTGATGGTACAAAAATGAATTGAGAACCATTCTGCTATTCAAAAGTAGCTCATAAAGCATTTCCATAATAATCTAGTGATAACATCTGAGTAATAATTTACAGCTAAGACATGTCTCAACAACCCACTTTAACTGCTTCCTAGATAATCATTTTATTAAAGCGAGAGAATCAGCTGGGAGACTCGAAGTTTCTACAGAGGCCTCTGTACTCACAAGATGCCTGCCACTCTGAATCTTCTTTCCAGTTCTTATAAATCTGCTTGGTCCTCTCTTCATCTATTTGATTTATATCTTCATCTTGTTTTTTCTTCATGGATTCTTTCTTCTGTTAAAAGAAAATAGAAACAAACACTGGTGAGCAACTCTGGCGGTTTTCTTCAAGGGCAAGGGCACTGGGCACACCTGATTTTTATTAAACTCTCTCTGGCCCACTAGCAAGGCAAGCAGGATAAATTGTGGACTTTGAATCAGCAATGCCTGAAGCTGACTCTGCTGCTACCTACGTGTGTAGCTCCAGGGCCAATCCTCTCTTAGGGTGTTTCCCCATAAGTAAAATGAGAAAAAATAGTTTATAGGGTTATAGTGAGGGTTAAATAACTTTAAAAAGGTACCTAGCACAGAGCATAGCCCATAGTAAGAACTCAACAAATATTATTTTCCCTCAGACATCACTTAGCTGCTTCAAATTAACTTCCCTGAAGTCGTGTGTAAACTAGTAGTGAGCACGCTACTTCATGGGACCAGTGTAAGCATGACTTTAAGGTATCCGACGGGTTCCACAAAATAAACCTGTCAGGTTGTCAGAACAATCTCAACTAAATCTCTCCCTGCCCTAGAACCAAGTGTCCGAAATCATGGTGCTTACATGTGATTGAAGGTGGTTCAAAAGGAATTTATTTTTTGCTTAAAAAGAAGAAAAGTATTTTTTAAAGCATCCTTTGAGAAAATATAAAATAAGAAATGTGAGTATTCCTTTAAAAAGAGAATTCTTTTTTTTAAATTGTGGTCAAATCCACATAACAAAACTGACATCTTAACCATTTTTTAAGTATACTATTTTGTGGCATTAAGAAAATTCAAGGATATTCATTTTAAACCAAAGAGAAATGAACAAACCAAACCACTGAAACTTGAAAATTTCTGTGTTTATATGGCAAGCCTTCCAAGTGCACATAAGAAAACTGAATTTACAATTTTATTGGTGAACTAATAAAAGCCTTGGTTAGCTAAGTAATAAAACAAGCTGAAAGGCCCAGGAAAGACCTGCTTAGGTTTCCTTTTCTATTACAAGTAACAGGTTTTTTTTCTTTTGTGTTTTTCTATAGAAAGATAAAGACTTCCTTGCTGTTAAATTATTTCACCAGAACTAAAATATAAACCTTGGTGATGTGAAACTTGTTTTTGATTATCATAGGAAGTCATAAATCATAGTTAATGTAGTGATAATTCACAAATTATACTTCGCTTCAGACATAACTGAACTTTTGTGCATTTTCTGTTTTCTTTTTTTTCCTTTCATTGTTTTCCTGCCTAGAGCTAAGCTCCCTTTGATGGCAAATGTTATAAAGATCAAAGAACAGTTTTTGGTGATTGAAATGACTGTTAAAATTTGCCATCCCTTTACTGAAGCTGTTTACAAGCCCGAAATACAGAAAAATGCTGCTAGCAATTTCTAAGCTTAAAAAGAAAAAACTTAAAAGGGGAGCTTTGTTCGTCTTCCGCATGCATATGCACTTATTTTTAAAATGATTAGAAAATATATACAGTTAAAACCTCAAACTATGGTTATCATGGATACTGTTGCTTAGGATAAATAGGAAATGGAAAAGTGAGTCTACTTAAGAAAAAAATAGTAATAATGGTACATCTAGTACTTGGTTGATAAGGTGATACTCAAATGTCTGAGGGTGCTACATTTAGCAAATATAGCAGTGTGATTACATCTAGGTACAGAGGAAAAGGAGACAAAATTAATGCATTTCACAGAGTAACAGCAGATGAGATCTGGCCCCGGCTGCTTTATTTATTCAAGGCAGCCAGAAAATGTAAGAAAACCGTCCTGAGTCTCTCTAAGAAGTCCTCCAGAAAATTTACTTTCAGGAAATCTTTAAAAGTTGATCTTTACTTTCTCTATTCAGAAAACCATCATTTTCTCCTTTAGGAATGCTTTGCTGGAAGCATGTGGGTCAAGGTGAGGACTGTGAACCACGAACGGTAAGAGCCAGGTAAAGGCTCTGGAGTGAAGGGGCAGAAGGCTGAGGCTGGACACTGGTCTAGACGTCCACGGTTTGAGGTGTGAACACGCAGATGGACAGTGCGAGCTGTCAAAATGCACTCAACTCACAGGACAGAAAACAAGGTGAAGTCGGGCCTGTACAGAAAGCCTTGTTCCTGCCTGTTGATGGAAGCGTGAGTGCCTTTCCACCAGTTTCCTCATCAGGTCCTTACAACTGCCCCCAAACCAGGCAGTTTCTTTTATTGCCTTTTTTCTTCAGAGAAGCTTAACCAGTGATCTGGTCACTCATTCTCTCAAAGTATCTGCCCTTCCCTGACCACGCCAAACAAGTTCTTGCCTCTGTACCTTTAGACTTGCTGTTCCCTCTGCCGGGAACATACTTTCCTCCAGATGTCCACCTCACTCCTTCCCTCATTCCTTCAGGTCTCTGCTCCAATATCACCTTCCTGACTCTGTCTCTAAAATACTAATTCCCAACCTCCCAGAGTTCCTCAGCTCCCTCATCCTGCTTTATTTCCCTCCACAGCACTTTGGACCACCTAACTTCGTAGATACAGTTATCATCTGTCTTTCCCATCCAGAATATAAACTTCTTGAGCTTCAGTGGGTGAAATAATAATTTCAGACTGAGAAGAGGTTAACTTTTATAATATTATGTTGAGAGTTCTGAATTCCTAATCAAACAATGTTATGAACCAGCATGGTAACTGAGGGCAGGAATTTTACCTAATTCCTTCATAAAATGTGTCTCCAATTCCAATCACAGTGCCTAGCACATAGCAGATACTCAATAAATGCTGGCTGACTGAATATGTGGATCCTTGATCTTTCTCAACCGACATCACTTAAAATGACAAAATGTAATCTGAGCAGTGTGACTAAAAATATCCCTTAGACCCTCTCTTGCTATTTTAGAAAAAGGTAGTGCATACAGGGACAACAAGTTCTAAAACTCCATGATTTCTCGAAGTCTCAAAAAATGCAAGTTCACGTGTGTCCCAGTGAGGAGTTAGGGAAGAGGTCACACTGTCCACAGGAACACAGGCCTCTGGGCCAGCATCCACTTCAGCCCAATCTCAGGTCTGTGGCCATTCGGCACCTTCTCTCCACAGGTTCGCATCTTACCCAGTTCTTTCAGAATTTCTGTGAGTCAAATCCTACTGCAGATTCCAAATGCCCACCTATGCCTCATTCATTTTGAGCAATTTATAATACGACAGTGAGCTAGTAAGATGGAGGAAGCAGAGCTTGGCCTGTAGGAGAGTGTCACATCTGGATGGATGTGAGCAGCTCTGAGTACTAGAAGGGGTTCCTGGCACAGTGGGCATGGGGGACACAAAGGCTGCTTATCATAAAGGGAGACAGGCTCACAGAAACAACGGGTACAGAAGTAACTCGATCTGAATTCACTCTTTCTGCCAAGTTTAATGCTCCATGTATCACTCTCTGAAATCATCTTTCCTCTGCAGCCCCGGATGTCGCCTGTGTGCTAGATCTTCAGGGAGGAGTTTAGCAGACACATCTTGGTGTCTTGGCATCTGTTCTTTCTATGACATTCAAGACTTCCCCAGCTCCCAATAAATGGGTAAAGATGAATAGCTGTGTTTACAGCTTTTAAGATAGATTTCACATTCAGCTGCTGAATTCTGTTTCTGCATGAGACTAATTAACTAATTTGTGAAACATTAGTGGAAATGGCTTTGCATGTAGCCCCCTAAAGACAGAATGTAGGTCTTTTACCTGGTGAAATCCATACGGCTTCATACGATTGATAGAATCTGCCAACATTTGTTGAATATTTCTTGAAGAACTGGAGGGTGACTAAAAATCAAACGAGACATATTTTATAGCATGTGGGGCTGAAGTGCAACTTCAGAAGATAATCTCTCAATACTTCCCTTATTTCAGCATCTTTGATGCTGCCCCCACCCCCGCTGCTGGAGCCACCCAAGTTCCCCACTCACATCGGAGTTCCTGAGCCACTCCCAACTACAGCAGCAGGTGGGTGAAGCCTCAGTATCCCCAGTCAGTAGGGTTTAGAAATGAGTTACTGCCCAAGAGCCAGGAGCTGGATGCTTGGTGTGTCTGGGTCCTCTCTGGCCATGGGGGAGTTTTAATGACTTCTAGACCACCACCAACATTACCCATAATTTAAATCTTTCTTTGATCTCAGCATTCTGTTTTTGCACAGATTAGAAAAAATGCCTTAGACTAGGCATTTTAACCGCTTCAGGTCTTGCTCTCCAGCTAGGTCTGGAGACACGCCTGGAACACCAGCTTGGTGCCTGGGAGTCCCACCTACCTTCCATGCCTGGATTACACTCCTCCACTCTCCCCAGCCTCGTTACCCAGTACCTAGGTGTCTGCTGCTCTAGACGGATTTCCCAAGAGGCAACTCTCCCAGTGCAGTTCTCAGATCCATTGCCTAGATTCCCTGGTGTCATTTCTGCCTGCCACGTGCCAACCCTCTGGTATTGTGACCGAGTCAGCAAATCACAACGGTTGCCTTTTAAGACACAGGTCCCCTCACCCTGGCTTGAGTGCAGAGCCTAAGCCAAGTCCCAGCTTGGGTAGCTACATGCCCTGGGTAGTCCAAGATAGCCACCCCCACCCCACATCACCAAGACTTACATGCCCTGTGCCTGAGGACTCAATTCTGAATTTTGGCATAGATTAGAAATTGTCAGCAAATTTTCAGCAAAAAGTTGGCTGGAGTCAGTATTCAGTGAGGAGCACATAGGATCATTGCCACGCCACAAAATAAGCCTGTGGCAAGAGACTGATGGCTTTTTCAATCATTTCCTTTTTTCAAATGCTGCATTTCCCACCTGTCCTAGAAGTTATCTCAACATACTGCAAGTGATAACTGGCATTTGCCATTTCTACCCAGGCCCTTAAAACCTCTTTCACATGCTCTTCCATGCTGTTCCCCTCTTCTTTGGGCAGGAATGGTGACAGCAGTCGTGCTACTACTAAAGACAGAGCCACCAAAAGCCTGAGTCCCTGAATGACTGCGTGGAGCTGAGCCCTGAACCAGAAAACCCATCCTGGACTGTTACCAGAGAGACAAAATTAACTTCTATTATGCTCATTGCAGTCAGATCTATTTGTTTCAAAAGTTCAGTCTACCTCAAGTGATAAAACTGGCCATAACAGTTGCTGATGGCATGTTTCAAGCTCGTAGCTGAATTTTTTTTTTAACTAATCATGGGCAGTGTGATTAATGAGGGCTACTGGTTTCTGAAGGCATATCGTGACCAGGCACTAAGATAATGATTTAGTATTATTTTTATTCTACACAGCATCTCTGATGGATGGCCAACATAATGCCTGATTTTCAATGAAGAAACAGTTTCAGAGGAGTTGTGGACCTTGTTCAAGTTCACACAGCTAGCTTGTACCAGAGTTCATGTTTTTCCCACTATGCCAATCAATATTGCGGTAATAGGAAAATGAAATACGGGTCAAAAGATTTCTTATGCTTATTACTTGGCAAACTAACGAATCCCATAGGTTTCACAATCGTTACTTACCATATTCTTTCTCCCTTTTTTTCTCATTTTAATATTATAAAAGGGCACTTAGCTGTTCTGTATCCAAAATAGAAGAGTACAATAAGCATTTCCTTTATGAGCAGGGTAGAACTGGCCCCACAGGTATGAGTCTGTCTGTTCATAAGTCCAAAATGACTTTGAAAGTCTTTGAGTACATGTCTACCATAAGGAACATGAGTTTTGTTTTATTTTTTGTTTGTTTGTTTTTGAGTTGGAGTCTCACTCCGTTGCCCAGGATGGAGTGCAGTGGCATACTCACGGCCACCCCAATGTCGACCTCTTGGGTTCCGATGATCCTTCTGCCTCAGCTTTCCAAGTAGCTGGAACTACAGGTGCACACTACCATGCCTGGCTATTTTTTTCTATTGATTGTAGAGACGAGGTTTCGTCAAGTTGCCTGGGCTGGTCTTGAACATGCGGGCTCAGGCCGTTTGCCTCGGCCTCCCAAAGTGCTGGGATGACCGGCTGAGCCACCGAGACCAGCCGGAATATGAGTTTTAAAAACAGGCACACTCTCCCTTTCCTCAATGCTAAAAAAAAAATCTGTGGGGCAGCTTTTTGCAAAAAAGACCAGTTTCTTATATGTTGCAAATTAGGAGGCCAGTAACCATCTTTCCTTGATACCCTCTCAAGTACTATAGCCAATGCTCCAAATATGGTCACTGAACTCCCAGTATCAGAAGGACCAGGACCTTGGAAACTAGAGTGCTGGACCAAGATTTTGTCAGCGGTACCTTAGCTGGGCATAGTTTTTGACTTTTTAAACAAATTCTTAGTTGTTTCCTGAAGTAGCATTAGGCTAACAGGCATCTGACAGTGACCTTCTAACCCATATATTCAAAACTGTTATCTATTTTGTAAAGCATTCCCCCCATCTCTTGCCAATTACTGTCATCTGCATGGGTATGACACTTTAAACATGTTGCACAAGTTATGCTCTGTCCCTCAGAATTACTGCTTCAACTGAATAATTCACCTAACAGACACAAAAAACATTGTTTTCTCATCGCCTACTTTTTAAAAATTATCTTGATTTTATACTATCATAAGACTTTTCTTACTAGTACTTTCAATGTACTCAACTGATTTTAAATTTACCAGATGTGATGGGGTTATGAATATTCCTAAGACAACCCAGACCTAAGCACAGACACATGTGCCAGACAGTGTGCATGGAACAGAGTGATGATTCTGGGTACTGAAGTGACTGCTGCAGTCACCACACCATCTACTCATGGTAGTCAGAGATGACATGCTTTCTTTTTCTTTGAAGTTTTAGATTTTGCTTTTAGTATGCCAGAATCTGCAAGCTTGTTCTCAAATAGAAGAGTGTTAGCATAAAACTGATTAGTTTAACAACTACCCCAGAGATGAAAATCCTATTTAAAAACCTCTATTCTACATGTCTAGAATATATTGTAAACTCTAGAGCTATTCACACATAGTAAGAATCACATTTATAAAAATCCTACTTCCCGAGGTGAACGAAGATTTTCTATTACTCCGAAGTGTTAAAATAGCATGAAGAACTTAATACTTGCATAAAGCAGGTTCATTCACACAGACTTACATTTCCTACAAATTCATGAAATGCACACTAACTACAATGTAACAGATTAAAAATATTGGGATCCAAAGGAGATTTCCTTTATTAAAAAACAGCCAGGTTCATGGGCTCAAAAGCAATGATTTATGATGCTGATACATACCAGAGGGAGACAACCTCAAAAATACTCAGAGCATTCTCAGAGGCAGGATGAAGATGCTTCTTAAAGGATGCCATGCCCTCTCTGAAGCCTCCACATGACACTATATTTCAGAGAATAAACTCTTTAGTTATTCCTATAATTTAAAAAGAGAGGCAATGACCCTCTTATGTATAATTTTTGCTTATAAATCACTTTACAGAAATATACACTCTCATCCCTTCTGTTCAACATAGTATTATAAGTCCTAGCCAGAGCAATGAGACAAGAGAAGGAAATGATGGTATCCAAATAGAAAAAGAGGAAGTTAAGTTATTCCTATTTGCAGATGACATGATTCTATACCTTGAAAACCCAAGAGAATCTGTCAAAAACCTCCTGGCACTGATAAAAGACTTTGGCAAATTCTCAGGGTATAAAATAATGTGCAAAAGACAATCGCATTCTATACACCAACAGTAAACAAATAGAAACCCAAATAAAAAGCACAATCCTATTCACAATAACAACACACAAAAAATGAAATACCTTGGCATCTTCCTAACCAGAGAAGTGAAAGACCTTTACAACAAAAACTACAAAACATTTCTCAAAGAAATCAAAGATGACACAAACAAATGGAAAAATATTCCATGCTCATGGACTGGAAGAATCAACATTGCTAAGATGTCCATCCTACCCAAGGCAATCTACAGGTTTAACGCAATATCCATTAAATTACCAGTAGCATTCTTCTCAGACCTGGAAACGACAATACAGGAATTCATATGGAAACATAAATGAACACAAATCGCCAAAACAATCCTCAGCAAAAAAAAAAAGCAGGCGGTATCACACTCCCAGATTTTAAACTTTATCATAAAGCTACAATAATCAAAACAGCCTGGTATTGGCACAAGAACAGGCATATAGACCAATGAAACAGGATAGAGATTCCAGAAGCAAAACCTCAGTTTCTTAACCAACTCATCTTCAACAAAGCCTCCGCCATCAACCGCTGGGTAGAGGAGAACCTATTCAGTAAATGGTGCTGGGAAATCTGACTGACCACATGCAGAATATTAAAACAAGACCCCTACCTATCACCATACACAAAAATCAACTCAAAATGGATCAAAGACCTAAATGTAAAATCTCAAACTATAGGAACCTTAGAAAATGCAGGAGACACCCTTATGGAAATTGGAACTGTCAACCAATTCCTGATCAAAACCCCAAGTGCCCATATCATAAGAGATAAGATAGACAAGTGGGACCTCATCAAACTGACAAGCTTCTGCAAAGCCAAAGAAGCCATCAAGAATACAGGGAGGCCGGGCTCGGTGGCTCAGCCTGTAATCCCGTGCCTTTGGGAGGCTGAGGTGAGTGGATTGCCTGAGCCGGCGGGTTCGAGACCCGCCTGGGCAGCGAGACCTCATCTCTACAATAAATCTAAAAATCAGCCAGGCGTGGTAGCGTGCGCCTGTAATTCCGGCTACTCGGAAGGCTGAGGCGGAAGGATCGCCGGAGCCCAGCGGGTCAAGGCTGCGGTGGCCGGGAGCGGCCACTGCGCTCCAGTCTG